AACTTCCATGTCGAACCAAAGCAGGGTGGAATAAGGAATCTGTCCAAAGATATGATGGTTTCCTTCAGCTGGAACACATATATTTGTGACTAATTATCTACAAGCATGAATACGCCTTGCAGAAAGACTGATACAGATAAGCTTGAATTTAAAGTTAAAAAAAAAAAAAAAGCATATGGAGTATATTCACCTAAAACATCCTTTTTTCAGTCTGGAAACATACTGCAAGTTTTCTCACTGCTGTTTATTATTCTTTATCTCAAGTAGGGTCTATAAAATAACAGAATGATGTTCCAGAGTTCACAATCTAAAGAAAGCTGTTTTCCTTGTAATGGGCAGTAAAATAAGCTTTTGCCAGATTAGATAACTCCTAAAGTACAGGTTGACCTGCTGTGAGAAGCCTCTTAGATCTCTTCCTAATATACAGTTAAATTTGATTTATTGCAAAGTTTGAATTTGCTCCTTTCTTTTTCATTTCATTAGATTTTAATTTACACCATACTGTAGTAGAGTTTCCTACGCAAACAGAAGATGGCTGGGAGTCCTGTCTGTGCAGCAGAATGCTGAGGGGCTCCAGTTCCTCTTTCTGTGTTCTTTGTGTAATCGTTTCCCATCATAAATTATTCATTGACCAGTACTTTTGGTTCTGAGTCTTGGTGAACGTGCTGATTTCCAAGAAGTCCAATGGTATCTGGGCAACTGTAAAGAGGCATTGGTGGGTATTTGGCATGTCAAGATAGAATAACAATCCATAAAGTGCTTTACTGTGTGGTCTGTTTGTTTGTGCTGGCAGTATAATCAGTTGTCAAGCCTGTTCAGTAACTGTGACTTCACCGCTCACTGACATGAGGGAAAAGAGGGGTTTTTTTAATGAAAAGTACTCAGAATATTATAGGCTATCTAATGCTTAGAATGACAACACTTGATTTACGGAAAAGGGCCAATGATACAGGATGGTAATAGAAGAATAGCATTTTTAGTGCTTCTTTATATGTTTTGGTTTCACAGAAAATATCCTTGTCTCAGTCCTAGCAGCTAATGTATTATTTTAAAAGAGAGGTAAAATTTTGGGTTGTGGAAATGTAAATGTGTAATGGATGGACGGGAAAAGAAATGCCAGCCTCCCATCTGCAGTGTTTAAGGCATATATATATATAGAAGGATTAGTATGTGTAAGATAAATTATTACTGTAATAGCTCATCTAGTTGACTTTTCAATTTACTTAACATGAGTTAGAGATAAATGAAGTTAAATAATTTTCACCAAATTTCTTTTGTTCGTCTTAAACCCCAACTGCTTGCAGTGAAAAAAAAAAAAGCAAACCACAAGGCAGAAATGGAAGAAAACAGGGATAAGTTTCTAGGTAACTGAGAGAGCTATACCCTGCTCCCTCACTTCAGACCTGCACACATCCACACACATGGGTGTACAAGACTGTCTACTGCTCCTGTTTGGTCACCCAGCAGGGAAGTCACACTCTATCTGTAGAATTATATCTTTCCATATTGTCCCCAGATAACTGCCCCATAACAAATTATTGAGTCCTTTTAATAGAAAGGGAACTAAAAACATTAAGAGAATTATTTCTGAAGTTAGAGATAAACAGTTAAAGTCTCTATTATTTGAGTCAATTTCTTGTGCCTTAACAAAAATTTCTCCCTTTTCTGCCACTTTCTGGAAGTAGATGTAGATGCAATTGAGGAGGACACAAGAATAATAGAAACAGCATGAAAATAACACTAAGCAAAAATAACCCGAATGAAGGACTATACTTCTTCCCCATCAGATACTGAGTAAAATTTCAGCCTTTTTTATTCTATGCCTGTTCTGCTGAAAATGTCCTCTGTTTTACACTTTCTGTCCTGCTGTCAATTACAGCTTTAATCTTAGTATTTTTTCTACCCTGGCTGTCTGTGAAAGTTTCCAGTTTCTCCTCCTGTCACTCTGATTATTTAAATGGAGGTGACCAGGGTTGTCTTCATGCTGTTTTCTCCTGATTTCAGTGTGTTGATGTGAGTACTCTGGAGAAAAATGCTGATATAACGGACAGAGATGGTGCTGATGAAAACACTCTTCCACGCCTGGCTGCTTTAATCATTACTCTGGCTCTCCAAGGAGTCTGTATGGGGAAAGCGAGTTTGCCCTCCCCAGAATTTTTTATAAAATATATTTTCAATTCTCTAAACAGTACCACTGAGCTCCAAGTCACAGGTAAGCTATTTATTCATCTCTAGTTGCCTTTTGCAACACACATTTGATGTAAACTATCTTTAAATGCCTAAAGGACTTTTTGCGCTTCATTTTAGATTTAAATGCCATTTCATTTTAGAGCTGTTAAGTAGTCTCTTCTAAATTTAAAAACAAGATTGGAAAATAAAGTCCTTATTTTGATAATTCTCTGAGAGGCATAAACCAAATTGTTACTCTGGTTATTAAATGTCTACAGTCACATTAATTTATGACATAATTGCTCAGCACAGTCTGTGCTCAGCACAAGAGAGCTCTGAGAGAGACAGGCTGGCTGTGAGGGCAGCGGCTACTGGGGCCTCATTTACATGGCTTCTTTTTGCAGGTCTTGATACATTGCAAGACTCAATTAGGGGTAGGTGGGATAATTCATGTATGGTAGCCAGATTAGACACCTTAGGCACTCACACCTCAGTGTAGACATACCCCCAGAAGAGATGAAATAGACACAGGCCACTCTGTTTTGACCAAATGCTCTCCTGATATCTGTCTAATGTACCTGAAAACATCATTATGGTTTGTGCTTCCCTACCTACCTTCTGGTCTTAGTACCCAGTCAGTGAGTCTGGAATATGCAAAGTTCGTTTTCTTCAGGAGCTCTGTTGCTAGATGTATGAGAAATGCTACTTAACCATAAATAAAATATAGGAGAGTTTGAAGTGGTCTGAATATGAAAACCAATAGAAAACACAAGTGTTGAGCTCTCAGCAGCTGCTATTAAGTTCTGTAAAAGATTCTGCATGCTTAGCAGTTTAAGAAGCTAAACCATCCACTCAGGGGCCTAGTATGGTTTTAGAAGGTTATTATAAGACATCTACTTTTCCTTTTTTTGTGGTAACTGCTAATAGTAATACTCTACAAGCTTTCCAAAGCACTTTTTAAAAGTTACATTAAGTATAGGTTAAAACACCTTAAAAAGTTAAATTAAGCATCGGTAAAAACATTGTTGCCACTCTTAGGTAGCACAGAGGTACATTGAATCATAGAAGTGAACAATAAAAAAAAGAACAAATCCTCAGCCCTAAACTTGGACTCTTAGATTGTACTTGCATAAACTGGTTTTGCAGCAAACCCCTTCATTTAAAATTGCCAGGCCAGATCTAAAATAATTGACTCACAAGAATGGACGGGCATAGTGCTGCTAAATAGCTATATATGGTAAAATCCTGGCCCCTGTGAAGACAATAGCAAGACTTTATGGTTGGTGGAGCTAGGGTGTCATTCAGAGAAACAAAAAAATATTCTTAACCAGTTTGTTGCAGTTTACATATATTTTAAGCCTAACCTAATTAAATTGTCCCTTTAAATTTATTTAAGTTCTTAATAGTAACTGTAGGAAAGAGCAAGGAACTTGCAGCATAGAAAAAAAGAATATTAGAATTGATTACATTTAGAAAAATATCTAGATTCAGCTCCCTTCAGATCTGTTTGCTCAAGACAATGTAGATAACCATCATATCGCAAGCCTTTTTGTAAGATTTACTATTAAGATTATACAATTTTTGAATGCCAATATTAAAAAAATAAAGTATTATCACATGGAAACATTCTTAATCTCATTGATCTAAACTCCTCTGAAATTAATTTTGGGATTGCCTTTTTTTCCAGTGGACAAACTCAGATTTACACAGAAACTATCACTATGGCCTCATCTCAAAAATGCAGGGGTGATAAGTAAGACAGGATAGAGCGCGCCCCCTCATATAACCAAGGCCATAGTGATAGCCATCAGCAGGCACACCCATTACACTCAAGCTATGTCATGGCATACATCCCTGCATTGTCTCAGGTTTGGATTAGGGATCCTGGCTCCTTCCTTCCTACTCCAGTGCTGTAAACAGGCATGCTTCCAGGTTGACCAAAGGGGAGAGAAAATCCGCTGTCCCGTGTTCCACTTCTGCAGTGCAAAGGGCAGCATAACATCCCAAAGATTGTTTTCAGGACACCCTAAACACCCTACGTCTGTCCTCCTGGTCTTTCTGGACTATCTGAATACCTGGCCATGGCATCTTAGCATGGTGTTCCATTTACACAGGAAAATTTGAGGAACGGTGAAGATATTTAGCAGTAATTTGTAGATAACTTTGTCAGGGATCAATGATTAAATGAAAGATGAATTGCCTTGCAGTCACATCTGTTTTCTTCTGAGATAGTCATAGGCAAAATATCTGAGTGTGGGACTGTAAAGAAGGAAAGGCTGAGTATATGGGTGTCTTGAACTTCTAGAGGTGTTAAGCAGAAATAACCTACAGTACCAAACTGAGGAGAGAAAAAAAGTATTAAAATAAGGAGTTGAATTAATGTTAAAACTAACAAAATGTTAACAATTACTTCTGGTTTTATCTTTTTATATGTGTATTTTCCCATGGTAACATATCTGTTTTCTAATTAATTACTAGAACTAGAACAACTACTAAAGGTGCTTACAGCCAGAAGGACCTGCACTGTAAATGGACAATTCCACAGTCACAAAAGACGTTATAGTATGGCAGTCAGAGATATTGGAAACAGAAATATTCCGGTCAGAGGAAACCATACAAAAGGAGACTATCTGAAAAGTTATACTGAGGATCATGAAAGGAACACAGACTGGGACCAGGTTAATTTATTTTTACGTATTATGGTATTGGTCACAGAATTTCAGTGATAACATTTCAAACTGGTTTGCAAACACTACATTATTTCTGAAGTAAAATGTATTAGTTTCAAAAAGTCATGTAGATACTGATAAAAATATATTTTTATATAGTTATATTTGTTTCAATATTAATTGGGGGAAGAACTTTATGGATGTTGAACATGTGATTAAAGTAGCTGGGAGGGGCTAACAGAATGGTTAGTGTTACTCAGAACCAGGTGTTTCTTTAAGACACAGAGGACTGTAGTACCATGATTTCAATGTTTTCACATATTCATTGGAGAATTCTTGTGCTCTTATGTTGCAGAGCTTCTAGGGCTCCTTAAGTGACCTTCTAGAAAGAAGGGTGGTTCTGTACAAAGGAAAAAAAGTAAATAATCTTTCTGTGTAAGTTGATTTTAAAAGGCTTCTGTAAACTGAAGATGGGGCATTTCCAGATGCTTTTAATAGCCATCTACAGAGTCTAGAAGCCTCCTTTAGAAAGTATAGAGTCTGTAAGACAGAACTTTAGTTACTACCCAGTATCCTCTTCAAGGGCTTTGAAGGACAGTGGGTCATTGCAGGTGATTTTATCCTTATCCTAAATATTTGAAAATAAATAGATTTTGTTTATAACATACATAATGATTAAGGTGGTAACTGTCTTCTCCATCCTTTAGACAAAAAAAGGAGACTTCAAAGCATATACTTTTGTATATATTTTAATGTATACATTTGAAATATATACTTCAAAGAATGTTTCTATCGTTTTCAGTTCTTTACAATTTAAGCTAACTCAAAGACAATGTTTCTTCTCCATTTATGAGAATAAATGATGTGCAGTTGACTTTTGCTGTGTGGTCATTTTATGATGTGGAACTGAGACAAATGGCATCTGGTTAAATGCCATTCTGATAGATGTTTATTCATGTAATTTTATTGCATTTGGAGTACATACTCTATCAATATGTTTATTTCTTTCCAGCTGACCACAAAAGAGAATCATGTTGATCAGCATGATGAGGCATTTAATGGGATCTCAAAATAATTTAAAATGAAGGTCATTTTAAATGTGTTTCGTATTAATTTTAAATAATGAAGGACAGAAATCAGTAGTGATACTATCTGTACAAGAAGTAAAATTGCTCTCCAGCAATAGAAGAATTTATGAAACACAGTATTTGATTTCTTCAACTTCTGAGACTGACCATAACTCAAAAGATCACTGTGCAGGGGAGTTATCTGAGGCTTGGGAGTCAAAGCTAGAGCCAGATATTCTGTATAGATAAAAAAAATCACAAAGAAACATCTGGAGAGAAAAGAATTTCTCTTCTGTATTAATTCCTAGTTTCTTGGGTTTGTTCCATTCCTCTTCTTTCTAGCTATGTCTATTTTCTTTGACTTATCATTCCATTATAAGGCATGGTTTCAGTATTGTGTTGCTAATTTTGTCTCCTGCTTTTTGCACATATCTATGATAGCCATTGTGCTCCATTAGTAACAGATGCTGCTACATTTGAGGCATTGACTTGCTTATGTCTCGTGTTTGCTAACTACATTAAGATCTATAATTTGATTTTTAGATAGGAATTATATTTTGAAACATTATCATGGAAAAAAGGTCACTGCTTTCTTTTTAATTCATCATTGTCTCTAATGGTTTAAAGAATGCATATAAAACAAGTAAGTAGCAGATGATCTAATACAAGCAATAATATTAAGTTCCATTAAATTATGTCACAATATCTATGTATTCATTTATTATTCCTTATTAAAGAAACGTGGATTTTGGAAACCAAAATCATCCATCCATCCACCCACCCATCCAGTTTTTCATATCAGAATACGGAAATTTGATTTTCTTGTTTCTTTAATATCATCTTCCAGGAGTACATAGTTACTTTATTAACGGAGACTTAGTACTCTGCCTCCCTATGTTAAAAAGCTTAAAAGGCTAGAGCTTGCAACTGGAAAAGATACAGGTCCAGTTGAATTCTGAATGTCTCCAAAGACAGAGATGCCACAGTCTTTCTGGGAAACCTGTACCAGTGCTTTGTTGCCCTCGTTTTGATGTTTTTTTTTTTAATTACAGCATATTGGAATTTTCCCTTCTGCAGATGATACCTTTTGCCTCTCATCCTTTTGCTGTACACCTCTGAGAAGACTCTGGCTCTATTTTCCATATAATCCCCATTAGATAGCTGAAGACTTAAGATACTTCCCAACCCTTCTCTTCTCCAAACTGAACAAACCCAGATCCTTCAGCTTCTCTCTGCACATCATGTACTGCAGTTTCCTAGCCGTCTTGGTGGTGCTCCATTGTGCCAGTGTCTTTCTTGTACTGCTGGTTACTAAACTGGACATAGTTCAGATGTGGATTCATATGTCCTGAGAGGAGGGCAATAATCTTTTCCCACTACCTGTTGGCTACGCTCTTGCTAATGCAGCCCAGTATGCAGTTAGCCTTCATTGCCACAAGGGCACACTGGTGACTCATGTTCAACTTGTCTGTCAGGACCCCAAAGGCTTTTTTCTGTAAAACTACCTTCCAGTCACTTTCCCCAGCCTTTATTGATGCATGGGGTTGTTCTGTCTGAAGCACGATAAATTTGTCTTTGCTGATCTTCATGAAGGTCTTGTCAGCCAATTTCTTTGGCTTGTCAGTATCTTTCTGAATAGAAACCATGCCTGCCAGCATATTGACTACTTGTCCCAGCTGGATTTCATCTGTGAATGCGATGTGGTACACTCAGGTCATTGGTGAAGGCATTAAATAATATCAGTCCCTGTACTGACCAGTGAGGAATGCTGCTCATAACCAGCCGCAAGCTAGACTTCCAACTTGATACCACTTGTTGGTGTTCCCTACTTCTAAAGTCAAAACCACTGCCTAGAACAGGCAAACTGAAGGTCTCTTCCAATATGGTAGCTCCTCACTTGTCTTCATGCACTCCTTCTGCTTGGAGGCAGAACAGACTAGATCCAGTTGGCAAGATCACCTGTTACCCTGAAGACTCAAATGGGGTATTCAGAATAAATGTATCTATCAGTGTTCAATTCATTCAGAGTCTTAGTGAGCTACAAGACATATTTTATTTTAGTAACAGATGAAGAAAGGCAGAAAGGTGTTGGGTTTTAATTGGGTTATTTAAAAATAATGATAATTACAACTTTTTAATTTAAATAGTAATTTGCTTTCAAAGGAAACCTAAGTGTCAGTAATTAGAAAAAGAAAATTTAGGAAACTCTTGATTCTCAGATGCAGACTAATTTAAATGAAAGAAACAAATATTTATTTTTTAATTGAATCACAACTAATCAGATGAGATTAAGAAATTCAGATTATTCCTTCAAGTAAGATAGCATATTTGATCTGCACTTCCTTTTAAAATTTCTTACAGAAATTGCCACTGGAACTGTTCTAATGCTAACTGCCCTTTTTTTTAGTAGAAGTTTCATTCTGGAGATGAAAAACCAATTCTTTGTGAAAATTTTTCAAAACATGAATGTTCCCAATAAGAGTTCTTTTTTTTGACAAAGACATTTCTAAAAAGAACAAAAAGTAATTGAAATTCTTAAGTACCTCTAATAATACAATTATTAAGTAATCTTTAGACCAAATTTAGACTATGTAATATCTAGTTTGCTGACCTTAAAGTGACATGCCATTGATAAAAGAATTAAAAAACACAACTTAGTTCCATATCTTACTAAAGATGCAGGACAAGGACAAATTTCAGTACTGCCTTGATACAGGCAGTATCTTAGATTAATAGCAATATTATTGTTATTAATGCAATCTTAAATTAATTGCTAAAATATGATTTGGTTTAACATTAAAATATTTTTTAGCATACATGACAATGAAATATATAGAGATATTATTTTGTCAGATCCTCACGATATTAACAGGCTTCAATAGAAATTATGCTACTTCATCCCAAAGATTCTGGTCTTTCTGAAATATAAAGTAGTATCAAGTTTTAATTGGAAAAAAAAAGAATTAGAAGTAATTGACGTAATTAAAGTAATTTAACCAGAAAAAAAAAAGTATATAGAAAAGAAGTTTATTGTAAGCTGTATTACCCTGTGTTCTTCTAAGATTCCATATTTAACCTCAGCATTAAATACAGGTATATGCAAAATATTCAGTAACTGTATATGCTTTTCTACATAGGTTTGTTTCTCTGCCAATGAACTTGTGAGGATATTTTTTGAAAATAGCTCTTCCTCCATTTCTAAGGACCACTTCAAGCAAATCAGTCCAGCTATCATTCAGCAACTATTAAGTTGTTCATGTCAGCTCCCTGGCTCCAAGCAGACAAAGCTTCCACCAACAACTTTGGAAAGTGAGTTAAGTTGTTATCAGTAAAGCATTGTGAATATTCAGATAAAGGGGTGCAGGGGCTTAACTTTTGGAGACATTTCATTCACTAATAAACCAAAACATGATGAGATTTATGCACTCTGTAATTTATGCACTCTATAATTTCATAGGATACATGTCAGATAATAGTACTATATTGAGAAGTGAAAGGATTCAATGGTCTCAATTTTGTTTTAGACAGAATTCTATTTCAATGTGTAAGGTTTTAAGCTTCATTGTCTTCATTGTGATTAGAGACATGGTTTAGTGGTGGGATGGCAGCATTAGGTTAACGGTTGGACGTGATTATCTTAAAGGTCTTTTCCAACCTAAACGATTCTATGATTCTATGATTTCTTAGAGGACTAGTTGATGTAGGCAGCAGGTGAGCCATAACAGGTTCTTATCGGTGGGTTGCTGGGCAGTAATGACTGTATGTTAGCTGGCATTTTATACCATGATGTGGCCAATCCTTGGTATAGGTAGGTTCTGTGTGAATGTTGCTGGTTTTCCACGTTGTGATATTTTACAGCAGAGAAGCTTTGGGGATACTACTGTGGGAAGAAAAACAACCAGAAAACCAGTCACATGGGCATCAGGACTTGTGTGATAGAGCTGGAACAAGAATTGAGTTAGAGTATAATCAGATTGCTTCCAGTTGCATTCATAGTCCTCACATGCCACTGCTTCCAGGGATTTCTGCCCCATCTGTTCTGCTGATTCAGCTTCTCCTGTAACCAATCACTAGTCCACCCTATTAAAAAAAATAAATATGAATCTCATCTGACCTAAGGGCTTCTTAATGACTTTCCTGGTTTTGTTTCTACTTTAAACCAGTGATATCTGGGAAGTGGTTACAAAACCAGGTGTGCTGGTGCATTACAGGGGGCATTAATTTCTGGTGGGGGATTTGGGAGACGGGAATAAGCAAAGGGAGTGGGCATCTAACCATAATCATGTGCATCTAGAGCAGCACTTTTAGGCTATAAAGCAGTGCTTTCAATACCTTTATCCCAATATCTACATGGCCAGCTCTAGATTACTAGATTTTTTAGGACCTAGTAAGATTTCCCCACATCCTGCTGGCCAAGAAACCTTATGGAACAGCACTTTCCATCTCTAAATTCTGTCTGTACTTTAAGCTACACATGTTAAACAGTTTTTGGGAATGAGTTGAGCTATCATTCCATGGTGTACAGATTAATTGAACTGTGAGTGTGAATTAAAAAATCATGTTAGATAAGGGCATGGAAGCACACTCATGAATATCCCAAGAATGGTTATAGGGGAAAGAAGCATATAGAAAAGGAAAAATCATAGCCAGAAGGCAGCAGTCCTTCTTTCTTATATTATCTCTCTTCTCATTACCTGAACACCTTGCAGTCTACTGTTTTTATCTTTTCTATATTACATGGATATGCCCATTTTTCAGATGGGGCATCAAAGGATGAAGAAAGAAAGGAACTTACTCAGGTCATATGCAAGGTTCATGGCAAATTCACAACTGAGTGAGATTCTCCCAAGTCTAAGGCCCAATCAATGACATTTTAGTGATCTCATAAAAGTGAGAGGTCTGTGTGGATGAGAAAAGATGAACTATTCAAATACAGGATGGAATTAGTAAAAGCCCTTTCTGCAGCCTATGCTTTTTGGCAAAGGAATGTTTCCATGACCACAGGGACATTTCTGCTGGCTTGAGACAGACAAAGGACTTCATGTTTGACCTATGTGTGACCTAGTGACCTCAGCATAGGCTCATTAATTTTATCCTCAGTTCTAGTTTACTGACAGGCTGTGCTGTTTTGGCTAAGTCACCAAGGCCTGACCTTCCATAAATATCTACTCTACCCTTGTATTTGGATGTGCAGTCTGTGAAATTTACTGTCTGATTTTATGAGGTGCTGAGCACTTGCAGTGCTATTAAAGTGTGAAACTTTAAGTGACACTTTTGAATATTTTGGCATTAGTTCCTTTATGTCTGTTTCTCATCAGTGTTTTACCTCCATCATAAGACATTCATACAGATTAATCAGGATTCATGTTGTGCAAAAGGTTGGAAATGTGAGCAGTGTGTAACTCTGAAGAAGTATAAGAGTAACCTTCCAAAAATCCCAGTAACCTGGGAAAAATAGGTTGGTGGTCCTGATGTAGTAACCAAAGGAGTGTAGGTCCACAGCACATCTGTAAACATAATTTGGACCAAAAAGTTTATGCTTAGACTCTAAATTAGATGCCTACATTCATCTGAGGTTTCAGGCCTTGGTTTGTTTACTGAATATGATTTGGTTAATAATCTGGTGTTGACTGTAAAGATATGCAGGTATGGCATATGAGGGGATAGAATAATGAGCATAAACCTGTTAAGAGAGGAAACAAATGCAGACTAGCATTCACTGTGCTGCTCTGAGTGTCTCTAATCTGAACAGTCGCAGTCTATTTAGCTCTTTAATGTCTGAAATTTGGAAGCATTAAACTGTATTACCTGTAAAGTCTGAAAAAAAAATAACGTTTTTTAGGCTTCCAATTGTCATCTGTATCACACATGACTAGAAAAACACAAATGAGTCACTTCTCTGTGTGCTTGTACACAGAGGCGACAAAACATAACCTCAAAAATAAATACAAATATGCAAACACAAATACAGATACTGAATGATTAAAGGTGCCCTTGATTGGATCTATGTTTGGTACAACCCTCATTTTATTTAACTCCTGTCAAGAAATCTATACACTCATTTTACAGCTGTTTGTCGGTTTGGCTGTTGGGACCCTTTCTGGAGATGCATTGTTACACCTTATTCCTCAGGTAGGCAACATAAACTTTTGTGGTTTTAAAATGTTGACACATACACATGCATCCACACACAGAGAGAAGTTTCATTTAAACCTGGCTAATACTCATCTGTTTAAAAATAAAGCTTTCCATGAAATCTGTGAACCGACTACCCAGCGTTCCAATTACATCTGCACTTTCTGGTTCAGAGAGAGATTCCAAGTAGTAAGAAGCAGAAATCAATGAATGATGAATTCAGAGAAAATAAGGTTCCTATTTTCACAAAAACTTTTCAGAAAACCTACGAGTCCTGTGCAAGCCAGGTTTCTAGATGTGTATTAAACTCTTTCATGAGGCAGATTCTGTAAATCATTTTAGGACCTTTGGGTCGTATGAGGCATCCAGAGTCCCCTCCACACATTGTTCAGAGAACCAGGGGCTATCAGCCTAATTAATCCTGCTGCCTAAAACTGTAATAAAATGGGTGCTATGATTTTTTCCTAAATTAATAAAATAAATTTTAAGAATAGAATAACATGTAAAACAGAACTGAATTTTCCTCTGTGTATTCATTTATTTTTGACTGAGTCTCCTCTGATCTGACACAACTGTTATGAGTAGACTTCAGCTGGTCATTGAGAGAGCTTCACACCTTTACTTGAGATTCTGGTCAAAATGCTCTTCGTACTGAATATGTCATCTCTGGAAGCAGAACTGGGAAAGTGGTTTAAGGAAGGCAATTCTCAGTGAATATCAGACAAATGCGTTTCTTTAAAAAACAATTTTTGAGTGTGAAAGTATTCTCCCTAACCAGTATTAAGTGGCGTATCCACTAACCTTTAAAGTGCCTGCTTTCAGAGCAAAGGAGAGCTACCATGCTGCACCACTGGGGAAGAAATGGAAGCACACCCACCAGCAGAAAGCTTTATAGATTATTTTCAATATGAAGTTTACATCTGAAGTTGATACAAGTAACTTTTTAGACTTTAAAGTTCAATATACTCCAAACAAAATATACCCAATATAAAAATATATATAAAGGGCAGTTTCATAAAATTGTCTCTAAAAATAATGTTACTTTCACTGCTGAGAGATGATGAAGTGTAGCAGAGGCTCCTATTAATTGATTTCATCCATCTACTATTCAGCTGATTAGCTCAGAACACAATTTAAATTTGAGAGAGATAGCAAAAGAAACTTTTGAGAATAAATCGAATTAACACATTATGGACTACTCTAGCAAAATTAACATATTGCCATTTTAATTTTTTTTTACTTTAACTATTTTTTTTTAGACTCTTGGGTTACATAAACATGATGCACAAGAGGTAGAACATTTCTATGAAGGGAAAGAATACATTTGGAAGCTTTTGGGAATAATTGGAGGAATTCATGGATTTTTTCTGATAGAAAAGTGTTTCTTTCTTTTGGTAACACCCCGTGACCAGGTAAAGCTTTGTACAATTTATCCTTTAAAAAATCTCTTTTGTTTTGAGATCTTACAGAGCACAAAATGTTAAAAAGATTGTGGAAGATAATTATCATTTTTATCAGTTAAGTGAAGCATTAAAAATTGCTTTCCAAAGTGCTCCTACCAGATTGACCTTCAGTTTCTATTTTGCTTTGCTCTATGGATTTTGAATGCTTCATGAATGTGTTCTATATATTTATAGCTCAAGAAGGAAACAGTTAATTGAATGTGTTCCATAAGCATGCTTTCATGACTAGCACGGGAGCAGGTGAAGAGTATGTCTCCATGTGAAATAGCAATGACAGTTGTTTACTCTAGTCTTTGTTCAAAGAGGAGGAAGACATAGATGTAAGAACAAGATATGTTCAAAAATGATATCTTAAAATTTCTGAATTGTTTTTGGCCCTGCCCCAATAGATTTGAAAATCTAGTATGTGTGTTGTGGTCAGTAGGACCTAATCTTATATTAATAATATCTCCTTGCTCACTGCCATGCTTATATCAATTCTATTACTTTATTTCAGTGTGGCTGGTACCTGAAAATATGATTATGCACAAGGATATAATGTAACACAAAGTGTGATGGCTCATTAAGTTTCTCAGCATGGGAGGCTATCTTAATGTCACTTAAGAAGGCTAAGCTTTTGCTTGTTCTGTTTTACAGAGTGTTTAATAACTGGCCTGATTTAGATACATAGCAATGAGTTGCTATTTCCACTATCTTGAATCAGCCGTAAAAGTATTATGTGAGATTAATAGAACGAGAATATTTTTATGATGGTGATATTTTGTTTGTTTGGTAAAAAGTAGTCCTTTTTATCACTTATTTGGAGAGAAGGGCTTTATCATTGTCCCACAAATTTTTAAACTTGTTCTACTGAGAACTAGATGAATCCTCAAAGATAATTTTAATTTTAATTCAACCTTTATTGTTAAAGTTAATTCAAATTTTAATCTTCAACTTTAAAACAAAATCAGTTTTATCAAACCATTATGGTTGTCACTGATTTATCTGATTCACATTTCAGGGATTTTTTTAACCAAATAAGCATTAGGAAATATTGATGTCAGCCAATAACCTTTTCCAACAGGTTTTGTTTTGAAAAAAATAATTCTTATAAATGCTAAACTTTCAGAAAAGGCTGAGAAAGACTGCACCTGTGTTCATCGGGTCTCAGAACTAATTGCAAAGCATCTTCATTCAGCAGGGCCTTTCTTTAGTTAATGGGCACTGGGGACATTCCCATGATCTTCCAGTGGAATCTGAATTAAATGAACATTCAGGCAGAGGCAAATCTACTTCAACCATACAGTTGGTAGGTTACCAATATGACATACTTCCCTGATTTGATAGCCTTCTTTCTCTGCTCCTCAAAAAAAAAAATGAACCAAATTAATGTAATAAATCTGTATTATTTCTCAGTCTTTATTGATTTGTCCTTTATTACATGACATGATTGTCAGGAATCTCTATATTTTGAAGCTTATAATGAGCTTTTACAGAGATTTCAAACACAGATTTTTACAATAACTTTTCTTAAGTGTGTATCAGATTGATATAACAATACATTTCCTGTACTACCTTTTGTTGATAAAATTCTTGAAGATTTTCCTCCTCTGTTCTTTTTAAAAATCTATCATATGTAAGGGCAGACTCTCCCATGGGAAAAACTTCAGAATTTTCTGCAGGGCGAGCTAAGTGCATAATCAGTGAACAGAAATCTTGGACTGTTCTTGGGCATTTTTCCACAGATTTGAAGAGTATTATAAACAAAGCTGGATATCTGGGAATGGTGCTTGCCCGTAAGAAGTGACATAATTTGCTATTGGTCTGTGGAGAGCATCCAGACAGATACATCTTTGCAAACTAAATTGATTCATACCTTTTAACATGTTTTCTCTTTTTCCAACAAATGTCTTCAGCTTATATGTAGTATTTAGATGAATATGTTCCTGGTTATTTAAATCAGAATCTCCAGAGATAATGTGAACTCTATTTTACGAAAGCAATTGTGATGGTTAAGAGCTTTATGAACCACTGCTAATCTCTCAAACACACTTGGGAAACTCTCAACTGAACGCTGAGCAAACAGACGAGTGAAGAATGTTTACTAATTTGCGAGCTACGTCATAGCTTCCTGTTTATGATAATGAATGGCCTTGTCATTTATCTCAGCTTCAAGAGTCCCCTAAAGTTATGTATAGATCACATGAACTAGCCTGGCTTAGCTAGTTTTGTACAAGAGCAGCCAATTTTTCAGAATCATGTGAGTAATAGCAAGACAAACACTGGTTGACTAAGAAAAGCTTATAAATCCTTCAGGTCAGTGATTAGTCTTGCAGTTTTGACTCAGAGTTCAAAGAAGTGGCATGTGAATAAATATTATAAAAGAAGTGGAACAATTACTGGAATTCATATGACTGGCTGCAATCATGGGAATAAAGACTTTTATTTTTCCTTTAAAATGTAGAATTTAAAACCCAAATCCTTTCCCTTCCCTCCTCATGCTTCTACAGCACATATCCCACATCACAACCAAGCTAATACCAGCCAAGAAACATATCCTGTTTTGCAGCCAGTACACATCTCTGCTATAGTTTTTGGAGTGGTGGTTGCTGTCCCTAACAAAGCATTCTTTCGTGCTGCTGTTGACTCTTCACTGGCTGCCATAATAGCTTTAATATGCTTTTTTGCCAAAAAAAGAAAACATAGTGATTATAAATTCGGTTTTTCTAGTTTCAGGCAGCAAGGTTTTTTGCTTATCTCACCCTTGCACAAATTTCTAATAATTTATCTAGTCAGAAAGAAAAGCCCCAGGGATGTAGGGGGAGAGAGATATTCCTCGTGTTCTCCCTTCTTTCCCCACAGTTACAGTTTCTGTTAATTAAACACTAGGACTGATACATCAGATCAACTTTCTAGGATAAGGACAAAGATACTGTCTCTTTCTTCACTTGAAATAAGGGTAATTTTCACTCGTTGCAGTGGAGTGTACTCATGTTCTGCTGTGCCCAACCAGTGGTGCCTTATGCTGAGACAAAGCCCTAACTGAAGGCCAAGAGGCAAGGCACTGGAGGCTTGTACCACCCTGAAGAAAAAGCCCTGTATTTTGAAAGGGTGTGAAACCTACCTATGATCACAGAATCATAGAATCATTTAGATTGGAAAAGACCTTTAACATCATCGAGTCCAATCGTACCTATCCACTACTAAACCAAGTCTCTAAGCACCTCACCTACCCATCTTTTAAATACCTCTAGGGATGGTGACTCCCCCACTTTCCTGGGCAGCCTGTTCCAATGCTTGGCAACATTTTCAGTGAAGAAATTTTTCCTAATATCTAATCTAATCCTGCCCTGGTGCAACCTGAGACCATTTCTTCTCATCCTATCACTCATTACCTGGGAGAAGAGACCGACATCCACCTCGCTACAACCTCCCTTCAGGTAGTTGTAGGAGATGATAAGGTCTCCCCTCAGCATCCTCTTCTGCAGGCTAAATAATTGTGATCATCTTTTTTAGTCCTGTGTTTTCACAGAGTAACTGTAAAGAACATGAACTCCAAAGAGACTCTGGTGTCTACCCACTTTTCCTTGGAAATCCTATAGACACCCTATCCAGCCGGAAACTACAATTGTCCAGTCATGACAAAATCAAAAGATACAATTTAAATTACAATGTCCTTTTTAGTTTTGCATTTAGCTCAGATTTTTCTGTCTTCCAGCAGAAACATGATTTTCTTGCGTTACAAGAGTGCTTATGAAAGTCTGTCTTCCTACCTGTATTAGAACCTTTCCTGGGCAAGGGAGATATTTCTTTTTTATGTTTTTCTGCAGTACCAATCACACTGCCAGTGCTCAATAAATTATTCTAATGATATCTATGCGAATAACAATGACTAGCTTTAATTCAAAAATCTTGAACTTATTTGATATTTTCCTGTATTTATAGCAGCAGCTGGAAGAGCCCCTTAACACTGATCCATTATCTTTGCTTTTAACTAGAGAAGCCCAGAAGATTCTGAGTCTGCTGAAGTTCCTCCAGAGAGTAAGGCGATCAGCAAACAAAGTTAGTATCAATAAAAAGACTAGACAAGTAACAGGAAAAGCTTTCAGACCTAACATGGAATTGAAAGTGTGAAGCTGGCTTAGCTCTGCATTTGCTATGTGCTACATCACCACATTTGATGGTGTTTGGCTACATAATTTAATCTCTGCTTAAAGACCTTTTCAGCTGCCAACGCTGTAATTGTGAAGTTCATTAATCTCATACTGCCCATGCTTTAGTGTTTGTTTACTCACTGTTGCAAAACATTTTTCTAAAGCCTTTGCTTAAAGGGAAATATTCAAAATGTAATACAAAACAGATTTTTAGAACTGTAAACTTTGCTAGTACTTTTATTTCTGAAGGTAGTGAAACAGTTGTGTTGGCTCATTATACTAATATAATTCTGCTTCCTTCTTCTCTTACACAGTAAAGCAAAAGCGTCTTTAAACCAGTAATGGTTTATTACATGTATGGAATTATGGGCTCACGATGGCTCTCAGTTCTAGGATAATCTGTTTTCTTCAGGGAGCTTCAAAGTAATTCCTATCTATCTTCTCTGTTTTGTTGGGGCTTAGTCCAAAAAATGGGAAAATAGAGCATAAAACAAACTCTGCCTTTGACTGTACTTGTGTGACCTTGGTGAATTTAGTAGACTTGCAGTCATTCAACTAAGGGAATAAAATTTTAATTGAAATAAGTTTGTTTACTATAATCAACTCACCTTTATTTTGTGATCTCAGATCTCAGGTCATCAGTTTGATTTATTTAACAATGTCATTATCTTCTTTTAGGTTTTTAATATTCTTCTCTGTTCTTGTGGACTTCATTTCCATTTCTGAGGCATTTGAAATCTGGATTTCCATTTCTTCAGTCTCACCTATCCAGCAGTATACAATCCAGTGCCAGTTTCAGTGTGACTATTAGTCCATCTCTATATGTTTCCTTCCTGTTGAATCATCACTACCTGCTAAGCACAACCAAATCTCTCAATGTTATTTGTTCCAAATAACTATATTTGATGTACAACATAATTTGGGATAGTTTCTCAGTAATGTTCTTGTTTGGTTCCATTTCTTCCTCATACCTCAGTTTTACCTCTATATTAGACATCCCTAAGTGAAACCCCAGTAGGTTTTGTTTAGGTTTAGGGTTTAGGGTTTTTTTGAGAATACATATTTTCAAAAATTTGTATTGTTACAGTTTTATGAATAGCTAAAATGCATAAACATACCTGGGTACCTTGACACTGAGCTAAGCTTTTAGGTGGGTTTTTTCCCAAAATGGAATGGAATCTGCAGCTCTAAGACATCTCCAGAAATGCCAGACTTCACTGTAAACGCATGTCAAGTAGGGCTGTGAGAAGGGTCAGTCACCTTAGATAGCCAGAAAGTAAGTAGCTCCTGGTAGAAAATGTCTCACTGACCCTCTCATTTATCCGCACTTGTTCTATCAGTATGTGAAAAGATCAAACAGTAGCACTTTATATTTAGTATACTCAGTGAGACTTTACATTAACTAGAAATATTTTTGCTGTGTGAGTAATGAAAACATTGGAAAAATGATCTATTTATGGATAAATATTTGCTTTAAACTCTTATTCGAAGCTTAAAAAGTGTGATCTATGGTGGGATCTATGGTGCACGCATTAGCTTTAGGAAAATTATGGAATAGTTCTGATCCCCTATTCAAGCAAAGAAAATTGTCAAAAATAAAGGTAGGCTTGTTTATGGAGAAGAGGCTTTGTAGAAATAGTTAGGGTGATAAGTTAATACTGTTGCAGCAACATAACGTATAATGTTGTGAGATAATTGCTAGTAACAAAGTTGCTTTAAAATAGGCTGAAAGCAAATGACAATAAACATTCAGATTTTTTTGTTTATGCATCTTCTTAATTTTCAGTCAAATAAGTTCACAAAGCTTACATTTGCAATTGCTCCATAAAGTTAACCTGATCCCTGTGTTATATTACAGACAATACACTGGAGTGAGTTCCAGTAACCATGGCATATCTTCTTGAACAATCAGATACTTTAATAAAACAGACTAATAATATCTCAGAGCAGGCCATGATTTCATCCTCACCAGTGCTTATTGCAAATCACAAACTTAATATAATGCAGCAATCTGTTATTCCTATGTAATTCATGCTCTGCACTATTGATTATAAACTGCCCATAGTGTTTAGAAAGAACTGTGCAAACTGGGGACATCCACGTCTGGCTCTGTAAGCTGGCAGGAAAATTTAACGAGCCTGCCAATTTTTCTGAACCCGCAGAGCTCCCAGGCAACTAGGGAGGATTTTCTGAATACAGTTGTTAGGCTTTTATGTGCTGTGTGGTTTTTCTATAATAGTCTGAAGACTTCAGTTCTAGCCAGTTCCTGTAAGAAAAACATCTCCCCCATCACTACAAAATGGTCATCTCTGGAAAAATTACTGAAGTGAAACCTTGTAATAACTATATTCAGACAGTTCTGCGCAGCTCCACGTTACCTCCTTAGACTGTCATATTATGTCTGTGTGGGGCCAACAAAAGTCAGGAAAATACATGATGATTAGGGCCCAAATCACGACCCTGCTTCTTCAGACATAAAAGCAACCCTTTGCAAAATGTTCTGCCCGTAGTGTGTAGAGGGAAGCTGGATGAGTTTCCTGAGAGGCATTAGAAGGTCCTGCTTGAAAGATTGTGGATAAAATGAATGGAACAAACTAGGACAGCCAATTCTATGTTGCTGAGCCTAGACATTGAGCCTATGTATGGAGCCTCATTGCTACTTGAAGAGATAAAATCCTTCTCCATGAATCCATTCAGCAGGCTACGTGGCTGCTGGGGTTACAGGTGGGATGGAGACTGTCCCTAACTCCCTAGCTTGATTTCAGTACTTTTATAACTAGTAGCACCTTTCCTCTCACATCAGATGCCTGATCATGAACATCTGATGTACTGTTCCACACTAAAGCAAGGTCACAGAAGAATATGGGAAAGAAAACCAGCCATCTGCATCCACAAGTGATGCTGCAGACAGGAGTACTATGTGCATACAGCAATTAGTTGGTTGGAACAAAAGTTGGAAATGAGCATGCTGTAATGCTGTAATAATAGCAATACTCTGAGGCTTGTTGCCTTTCATCTCTATCTTTTAGGGTAATACAATCTTGTAAAAGACAGACCCTGCAAATATCACTCAGTAGTAACATGCTTTACAGTATTAAAATGATCAACTGCATGAGACCGGATTCATCTTCGTTACAGCTGTGCAATTCCCTGAGTGACAGTGGGAAAACTCCCACCTTTTAAGGAAAAAGAACATCTAGACTGCAAGAAAATTTATATGAATTTCAGCAGCCAAGGAAAGATTAATGGAAACCCTTAGGACATATCATGAGACTGGAGTCAAACCAAACTCTAAGTTTTTTGTCTAATAGTTGACCCTGTAAAAATATTGAAGCTACTTCCTGGTATTTGCATCTCTGAATTACTCTACAACCTACTTTTTCACTTCAAGTGTATTGAAAGAAGTATAATAACAAGGACAAAACAGATAAACACTGTTGTCCTCTTATTATTATAACTTTTCGTAATGTTATATGTGAAAAAACCCAAATAATTTGTAACTTAGCAAAAATTACAATATCTTTTTGTGTTAAAACTTCTGGGGTTTTTTGTTGTTTGTTTGTTTTTTCCTAGGTAAGAAAATTAGCTTGTTAGCAATAATGGTTCTGGTGGGTGACAGTCTTCACAATTTTGCTGATGGCTTGGTAATAGGAGCAGCATTCTCCTCCTCAACAGAAACAGGTGTGACAACGACTATTGCTATTTTATGCCATGAAATTCCTCATGAAATGGGTAAGAAATATGTATGTGTATTTTTCCTGACTGGCTTTGTAGTTCCAGGTTTCCCAAAGAATTCTTTCCTGTATGACATTGGTGGGAATTATTCTTGCTTATAGCATCATGAACTATAACATTAATGTGTGAGATGGATATACAAAGAGACTGTTTTCTTCTCTTTCCCCTTCATGAAAAGGAGAGGAGGCTTCTGCCTCATTATTGGAAGCCATCCCATCTCACCTTCTCCAAATGTAAAGGCCATCAGATCAAGAGTGACACACTATTCTCATGAGTACAGACACAAAAAATAGTAAGCTGTGAGCAAGAGCCACATGTGCATAATGGGCATACCTGGCACAACAGCTTATCCAAGAGTTTTAAGATGCAGCAGAGCCGTTTCACAATGTCTTCCTCTTGCTACCCTCATTGCTGCTGCTAATCAAGAATAACAAGATAGTGAAAGAAGATATATGACCCATTTTACTAGTGCACAGGCCAGGGAGAACAGTCTATTGAACATTGCCTTCAGTTGCCTTCCTTGTGTAAATCTTCCAGTATGGCTGATGTTGTTCCTGGCATTGTGCTGATGAACATACATAAGCTGGCCAGTTTGAGATGAGAACTTCAGATTCTCATTTCTGTTCTTAGATGACTGAAGATTTCATGTGCTGTCTATGAATAAAACTTCCCCAAACAAAAAAAGTGGGATGGGGAATTGCTGTAAAACTGTTAACTCTTGTTTGCGTAGTGAAGAAACGATCAAGATACCGAACAGTTTACTCCAAAGACAGACCTTCTTAATTCTGGGGCAGTAGTCCCTCAGTATCAAAGTGGCATTTCCACACTCACAGAGAAGAATTTTTAAAATCTTTTACTGGAGACCTGTTATGAAATCATTTATTTTAGAAGAGAAATCTGTGCTGGGATTCTGATGTACAGTTTACCAAAGCTAATTAGGTTTGAAATCAGTGGAATTAAACTCAACCTGGAATCAGACTGGCATAGGTTTTTCTGACTTGCAGCACCTGTAAAACACTCAAAGACCATGCTGCAAATATACTCACATGATTTGAACTGGCAAGTTCCCAGTCAAGAAAGATTTAGAAACGCTGGGAAAGCATGTGACTTCGCTTTTGCGTGTATCCAAGTTGGAAATGTCACAGAACATCGAGAACTAACAGAAAGCCACTCCTGTATACTGTATGCTATCTTTAGGAACAGCTAAACAAATACAAGTCAATATGGGGCTTTTGGTTTTGTTTTTTCACATAGCATGAGTTTATAACTAATTCTACAGAAACCTAAGGGCAGTCCTCCATCATTCACTATCTTTGTCCATATCTTAATTATTTTCCTTCATGTTTTATTACCAAGAGTCTTACAAATACATTTATCAGCTAAATAATAAATTTTCTGTCTTTTTTTTCCCTGTGCAGGAGATTTTGCTGTGCTGCTAAGTACAGGGCTCCCCACGAAGATTGCGATTTTGATGAATTTTATAAGTGCACTAACAGCGTTCTTAGGACTTTATATTGGCCTTTCTGTATCAACTGACCCGTGCATTCAAAACTGGATTTTTACTGTTACAGCTGGAATGTTCTTGTATTTATCTTTAGCAGAAATGGTGAGAACTTCAGTCCATTGTTATATTTTCCTTTTAACGTAGCCACAACACAGATGCATGTCAGACAAATGCAGATGGATGAACTTGGAGGGAAAAAGAGTTCGTAGGCTTCTTGGGAAGAGCATGTTGTCTGCCCTGTGTATGTATGGGGCTTAGAACAACAGTCTGGTTTTGTTCCATGTCACTGCCATGCTAGGTGTAATTAGTAATAAAAAGGTGAAATAAAGGCCATTAAGAGCATAATGTATGAGAAAGGCATAAAGGACTTTTAAAGGGGGAAAAGTAAACAATCTTTTTTTTAGGCCTGATAGACTTACTTAGTAAAGCATAAAGAAACATTTGAATCGGCAGGGGGTTTTAAAATCATGAAGAAATTGGTTATTACTTTTTTTTCTTTTACTGCCCTTTTCTTTATATATTTTCCATCCATTGTTTCAACACAAATTTGCTGTTTCTGAACTAAAATGCAAGATGTTTATCCTGTGCTCTTCCTAGCCAGCCTTTCTATCTCAGAGAGGTTTGGATGTGCTACTAAGCAATTAAAACCCCATCAAACTGCCTCACTTTTTTTCATATTTGCCCAACATTTTTCATACTCTCAGTTCCACAGCAATGCTCTGACTATAGAGAAATAAAGTGTGAAGATATACAATAGGAGGAAGGTCTAAGGACTGTGGAAGAATGTAGTGGAATCATAACTCATGCAGATGCCTCAGGCCATATAGTTTATTGAAGGGATGGCTCTTACACTTGTAACAATGCAGAAATTAATTACCTTGCTAGCTTTGTCTCGTGGCTCTTTAACCAACATGTGTTAATGTAAAGTTGCTTGCAAGCTTCTGAACAAAGACGGAATATTTTGAGTGATTAGATCAAGAGGGAAAAAAAAAAAGAGGTCTGTCTCTCCATAAATTATTAGTGTGTTTTTCCAAAGCCTGGCTGTCTCTCTGTTGTGTTCACTACCACCGCCCACCTCACGCCTAAGATATCATTTACTAGGTTCAAGCACAATACTTTAAACCTGTTATGCCATGCCAGTATTATAACCTATTTTAAAATCTACTTGTAATAATTGACCTTAGACCTTGGGTGTATTTTACTCTATTTTTGCTACTGTAACAAAAGTAAAGTGAACATAAAGTGCTCCTAAGAGTTTACGAGGGAACTGCCTAAGGATTGTGGATGTGTCAACAGCCCTGCCTGAGGTAGTAAATAACAGACAAGAACACTGTGTACCAAGTTGCATCTTGTTCTGACACAGAGAAATTTTGGAAGTGAGGCTGCCTACCTACTCAATAGGCATGGTTTTACTAATGCGACAAAGAAAGACTTAGGCCTATTTTTTCCTTCAGTGTAGGATCAGCATCGATCAGGGATCCACAAGCTCCTAGAACAACACCATGTTTTCCCCTGAGTCTTCAAAGCAGTGTGCCAGCTGTAAATCCCAAGAGATGACACATTTCCAGGCAGAGACAGGGACACATTTTCCCTTGTTCTTAGTTTGTCACCATAATCTTGTTCTTAGTGTGAGGAGGAGAAAAAAGGGAGAGAGAGGGAAGGATCTTATTTCCCTCACCTGCCTTTTATTAATAGGATTCCAATCAGCCTTTCTGTGCATTTGTCAAAAGAATTGCCATTGGATTGCTCACCGGTGTTTGTCAGAAGTGCAAGTATTTTTCAACTTTCTGCACAAAAAAACCTTCTATTCTCTGCTGTATTCTCATCTATAAAGAGCAATCATCTCTGTTCCTGCCAATGGTGCACAAATACTTAATGGTGTACAAAGCTTAACTATAATTTTCAGTATTTGTTTTCCGGGCTTTCACATATTCATGTGCTTGTCAGAGCAGCAGTTAGATAAGAGAACAGCAGTTAAATAAAACTGAACAGCCTCCCTGGTTTCAGCACTGAGGAACACTGAGGGGTATGAGGTAGAGGTTCATTGACAGGACAGCACTGAGACTGCCACCACACGCAAGACTGCATAAAACTACTTCTCTGATTGATTAAAGGTTTTCATTTCTACAAATGGCATTCTAGCTCCTTTAACAAGCAGGGTAGACTAATGATTTAAGAAACCTGAGGAAAAGGACAAAAGATAAAATTATTTATGTCCTTCATAATTTTTCACCAAGGAATTCTGCAAAACATCTTCCCAGCAATTGGGGAAGGTGGAAGGGAGGAGTATTTTGTCTTGCAAATGTGAATGCACAGGTGTAAGATTGGAACATAAATTGTTTGTTGCTTCAATATGTGAAGTAAACAGCAGTAATATTATGGGTTTAGTTGTTGTTTAACCAAAATTAAATCCCCTGAAAAACAGCTTTTTATGAGCAATATAATGAGATTTTTTCATATTTGATATCTGTTTAGAGGTCATAATTATAATCATAACTTTGTACTATTTCCAAAGATGTTTTAATTAATAACATAACTTTTCTTTAACATACCTTTACTCTAAATTGAAAATTGAGACACCAGTATATGGAATGGAACAGACCAACTCACTCCTAATGAATTGCTTCTTTGACAAAACATGTCCCCTTTTCCTCTTGGGAAACAAACCTGAAAATCCTGTATCAGCCTCTTAAATGAGTATCTATGAAGTAATCAATATGGATAAATATTTATGAAATGACTGTATTAAACCCCAAGGACTGGGACGTCATTTCTGAGTGATTGTACAGATCATACTGGTTTATATAGTTCCTGACCAGAAAGACTTACTGTCTAATCGGAAGGAGGGAGATAGACAGAAGCAAGGAAGACAATAAGGATATCAAGAAATAGGAGCTAATCAACCACTCCCCAAGGCAACTAATGCGTTTCCTCTGACTAACCTTAAAAATTTTTCCAATTTTGGAGACAATTATCTTTAAAGTGACTTACTGGGCCATTGCAGTGCAGCAGTCATGCCATATATACCCCAGCTTGGTAGAACTCTTCTTTAGTCAGCACATGGTTGAGAGCCCCTCATGCCTTCTTTCAGCATGCTGCTTCCTAATTCTTTATATCTTTTGTGTGCTCATGATGCAAACATGAGCTGTGTGGAAATAGAGTAGTCCCTTGGTTAACAGTAACTCTTTTGCCTCCAACAGACTTCAAGCATTAGTAAGCGTGATGGCATCCCACAGCTTGGATGTGATGCTATCTTCCCTTAATTTATTAAGTGTTTTGCATCTGCCAGCTGAATAGGCTTATGCTTCCCAAACAACAAGCATTTCTCTGCTATACCACACATGTTTGTGTATAGGCGAGTTCAGAAAGAGTTGGGGAACCATAGCTGATACTGTGTCAGCAACCAGCTATTTTCAAAGAGATAAGCAGGGATGTCACACTAGGTAAGGTTATAGAAATGGTCTATGGGCTTGACAACATGCACATAAGTGATGTGGAGGGAGCAGAGATCTGCTTTGGACATACTACCTGCTGAGAATTCCTTTTAAAATCTGTCTTAGGAACCTACTGTGCATGTGTGTAACTCATAAATTGGCACTGACAGTGATGAGAAAATACTAGCTTTTGCAGTAGGAGGGGAAAAAGTTTTGCGTTTAGAGAACTTGTTCGCTCATGTGCTGGGGAAGAGGACAAAATAGATTGATTATAGGGATAAATTAGAAAGACCCAAGGTCTAGTCTGGAACCCTGGATTCAGGCCTAGGTCTTAATTAACAGTTTTTACTTTGTACAAAACAAAAACCATGTGTTCTGAACACTTAGAAGCTGTCAGCTCAGATTTCGATTCACATCAGAACTTTGAGGTGTTTACACTGGCTTTAGATTAAATGTTTCTGATGATCCTTAAATACAAATTAAATATAACTACATGAGTTTCTGAGATGCAAATTTTTACCATAATTTAAACCACTGCCTAGTTGTTACAAAGATCCAGAACCTTTGGGTTTGCCTGTTGTTTTTACGCAAAACTTTAAAGTGGAGGCAGATTTTTCATGATTGTTTTCTTTTGGGCCCGTGCCAGCTTCCAGAGAAAGAAGAGTGCAGGAGAAGCAGACCCAGAGACCTCCCTTGGAGAGGAGGAAGGAGAAGCATAGCAAATAGCTGTAAACACACCCCGTTAGCCGCCCTGGTCAGCACCACTCCACTGTCTCCCAGTGGCTGATGCTGTTACAGCTCCTGTGAGGAGGCTCTGAGGAGCAGAGGAATTAAATAGCTTCATCCAAGCACAGGTGGTGAGTGGAGCAGGAAGGCAGCGTCATGGGCGAGTGCCAGGACCACTCGCTCCGGTTTTAAAGTTCACGACAAATAGATAAAAAAACCCTTCTAACCAAATCCAAAGTACCAGGCCATTGCTCTATATTTTTTTCCAAAGCTGATGTTGAAAGTATCAGCAGTCATTAGTGCCTCCCCTGGTGTCTATAATATATATATATTATATAAAGCATATATATATACAAAGCATAATTACTAAGAGAGTCTGAGCTCAAGGCATTATTTTCACAGGCTCTGTTGAGACATACATTTTGTTTAAAACTTTGATAAAAGAGACCATGTAGGGTGGAAGGTCAATGTAAGTAGCTTTTAATATGATTATAAACAGCTGCTGCTCCTTTATGTGCTTTAAAATTCCCAGCGAAAAATATTAAATGTCATTTTTTTCAAGCACATATAAAAAATCCTATATTCTATTTGTGTGTTTACTAAAGCTCAAGGAAATAGGAGTGTTGCCAGTTATTTCAATAAGAGCAGGATTGACCCTATATATAGTACTGAAACAAAAACATCCAACTAGTTTATTCCCACAACAGGGAATCACTAATTTTCCTAAATAAGCATTTCCTTACAGGCAGCTGTATAAAATTACTAAAAACTATTGAGAAGTTAACAATTTTTGGAATCTCATTTATAATTCTTGCTGGTGCTGGTAAAAGAATCCAAATGGGTAGAATTTGATTAATTTAAATATTTCACTGTCACTGTTGGTGTTGTTACAATGTACAGAACATGCTACAGATTAATAGCTATATTTGAAACTCAGCATTTTGAAAGGTTTTTTTTAATGAAGTTTGCCTTGTTTTCCCATAAGACTTTTTTCCCAGAGATTAATATATCTGGCTCTCATTCTGGTGTCTTATTCTTTTTTTAGCTTCCTGAAATGACTCATATTCAGACACGGCGACCCTGGTTGATGTTTCTCCTACAGAACGTTGGATTACTATTAGGCTGGCTTTGCCTCTTACTTTTGGCTATATATGAACAGAAGATTAAAATATAAGTTTTCTGTTGGAAATTTTGAAGTACCACTTATGACAGTGGATAGCATTATTCACAATTTTGTCATGCCTGCTATAGTGATACATAAATTAAGTTGCTGGGATTTTTATATCTCAATAGTAGATAACTATTTCACTTCATTAACTTATTGTTCAGATTTTGTAATTTTTTTTGTAAACATGAATGTTTAGAATTATGTTTTATTTGTTACTGAGCTTACCAGATCCCATGCTCAAACTCACAGGAGCTTTTGATTAGTTTTTATTGAGACTGTTCTAGCTGAACGCTCTACGTGATCTCTGCCAGTCTGATTGAAGAAAAGAATAAAACACTTTTATATGCAATTGAAGTGGACTAACTGTAGTTGAATAATTTGAAGCAGGAAAGTTTGTTGCCTCTTAGCACAAAGAATAAATGTATTTCTATAAAACTAGAAAGTATAGCAAAACTGAACTGTTAAATGCCATACAGCAATCTCATTATATCTGCATGATCTGCATTGTCAACATAAAGATCCTCGGTGGTCCTATCTTATTGGTCTACTGTAGCAGGTAAAAAATGGCAAGCGTAAATGTTGAAGTTTATGATCTAGAAATCTGAGAATGTCCTTTTCTGACTGTAACATAGTTTCTGACACATGTGGTGGAATCTGTGACAGTCAAGCATTGGACTGTAGTAACTGCCAGAGCAACTGCCTTCTGCATTATCCCACCTCTGATGGTTGCTCATAGCAAATGTATATGAATGCTTATAAGAAATATGTTTAAATTATTTTTCCCTGCTACCCCTTCCAGGCTCCTCAAATCAATGGATTCCTTGAGCCAGATGTTGCTTCTGAGCCACTGTGTTTAATAAACACCAATAGTGCCTTCCAGTCAGCAAATGAGCTTATTCATACAAATGCCATGTGCATTGTGGAAGGAGCTTTTTCAATTCTCTAAAGTGCATGTAGTCGGGCTCTCTTAGGGCCTCACTGCAACTCCTTCTGTCTTGAGTGATTTGTGTGTAATTAGTCCTCTTGATTTCAAGGGAATTCTGTGTAAGTTAAAGATGACTCATTTAATTTAGTATTACAGAATCAAGCCTGAAACAAATATACAAAATCTGCCCTGGCTCTGAGGTGCTGAGCAACTTCCAGGAGGCACCGAGCAACACTCAACTATGTGATTTCTGCTACTTACATGCTATCGATTTTTGGTGTAAGGACTCCCCTCTACCTAATTTATATTTTTGTATGAGAATTGGGATGCATCCTTTCTCCCTCCTCTGATGAACTGTGGAAATAGGGAGAGCGAGTTACAGAACAAACATATATTCTTTGTGCAGCAAGTGGATATTTTATTTTCTTTGTCTTAACTCAAGCTTGAAATACGGCTGCATTACGACATGATCTGTCTCACAATGTGTCCTGTGTTTATTTGGCAGCTCCCCTAGTGGAGGTACAGTTCTTCTTTCACAGAGGGGAACAGAGTCTACTTTCCTGGAGCACTGTCAGTTCTCAAAGGCTTCATGGGCACCATGCTTCCGTATCATCAACATTTAAAGTGGAAACAATTCTGAATTTCATTGTTTATAATAGCCCAGATTCGTGGGCTTGTGGACCCCTAGTCATCCACAGACTACCCTTGGGAAAAACAGCTAAAGATAATTTTAAATGTAGAGATGCACTCATTTTCAGCACCTGTTAGTTATGAAAAGCTGTAGCAACTACTCCAACGCACATCTAGATGTACATCTAGGCATTTATATACTTCAAAAACGTTGTCCCAAACAATTTATCCAAGGTCACAAGGGAAGTCTCTATCTGACTCGGGAAATGAACTGAGCTGTTTTAAGTCCCAAAGTAAAATCCTAACTTGTTTTATTTAGGTGTGCAAATATTATGACTGCTTTTTCTGTTGCTTTAACTTTGAAAGATGAGCTGAGAAGCCATGACTGATGCTTCTCTTTTCAAAGTTTACATTTTTCAGGAGTTTGTGCTTACTTTTAGCAAGGTAAGATTTTTTAAAAGTGGGTTCCCAGTACTTCATCTGTTTCTATTGGCACCGAGACACTCCATGACCTTCAGCTGTGACAGTCAGTGCAGGCAATAGCAGGGCACCACTGGATGTAAGCAAAATCTATTCTTGTATCAGACGGTACGAAAGAATATTGGAAAGATCTGTTATTTCAAAGAGCAGAGCTACCATAGTTTGAATGTTTATGTATGCATAATGTTCACTACGACAGAAAACAAGATTACCAATATGATCATGTTTTGTCAATGTATTCTATTCTGAAATATTTTTCTACTATTTGTTAGTGTGTCTGAAAGAGGGCAAGTCATTGCTGGCAGTGTGCACTTTAAAGTTGCGTATAAGCATAGGTTCACATCCTGACATTATCTGGGAACATAACGCATCCGCATCTGTTCATGAAATGCCACCCTTTGGCTATATATATTTATCAGGTTTCTTGATCATGTTTAACAACCAGGTATATCTATGCAGCTTCCACTGCAGGCACAAATATGTTGATCAGGATGCCAATTAGTTCTTATTTCTGCCACAGAGCTCAGATGCTTTTGTGGTATTTGTCAGTAAGCCCGCAGTTCAGTCACCATTTTGCCCTGGTGTTAAGTCTGAACACCTGAAGTCGAGATTGAATTTCTATGGCAGCTGTGAGAGACCTCATCTCACTACTTCAAGCTGGTGCCTCTGCTGTAATTCTCTTGACATGAGTATCTTTAAAAAGATACTGAAGGTGGAGCATTACCACATGCAAAACAAGGCTTGACTGTATACTAGGAGCAACGCATCATACAAAGGGCTGGGAAATATTCCTACCGGTCACTGAACTAGAAAATGAAATCAGTTTAAACCCAAAGAGATCCACCTGCAGGATTCCTTTGTTTTGTCAATGTTCTCTGAAAAGCCCAAGAAAAAGGATAGAAGGCGGCAGTTTTGCATCCTTACAAAAGAGAAGGTGGTGCACAAGTATTCTTATGATGCATTTGCCTTTTGTTTGTTTTAAATTCTGTAGAGTTTATTCATACAGATTTCAAACAAGGCTCTATTTAAAGCCAGGTATTTCTTTCTGTTCCTCCAAACCTAACAGACAGAGAGCATAATATGCCAATGTTTTCATTGAGTCAAATCCTGAGTAAGGACTGCAGAACTTCATCACTTGCAGCCATTAAATCATGACCGGGTATCTCGCTAAGAGGTATGCAATTACTCAAACAGATGTTATGTGCTTGATGGAGAGATTACTTGGGAAGGTTTTACAGCCTGTCAGGCAGTTCTGACTAGATAATCATAATGTTCCTTTGAAATCCTAAAATATATGGATCTATAGATACAGGAATTTTTCTGGAAGAAGCTGGTTAATATTTCTCTCTTTCATCTATTCTTACTTTTTAGGCACTCTCAAGATGAAAAAAGTAGAAGATATCTTGCTTTCCTACACAGAAAATGAGAGAGAAAGGGAAAGGTTCAAAGAATTTGTTTGCTACAGTATTTTTTCCTGGAAGTTAAATGGCAGAGCTCCTCATAAAAAAATCCTTCTTGTTCCAAACTACCAGGGCTCCTAAGCATAAGAGAGCTGACCTTGTACCTCTCTTTTCTGTATATGTTACACATTACCCAGTGACTCCTAAGATAAATAGTACCTTCTTTGCAGCCAGCTATGCTAATGCCCTTAGAAGTTTCTGGAGCTCATCTGCATGTCTTAAATACTGCCATCTATTCCTTCACTGTATTTTATGCTTTAGGCATGAATGTGGCATTTCTCCAGAGACAAAAAAATGCCTTTTTAATACAAGAAAACACAGTTAGTTTTGATATGCATATTTGGATTGCTTTTCTTTCACCTTGCCATTATATTTGAGAAAGCATATTACCATTGCAACAATTTTTAGCTTGCAGCTGGAAACCAAATCCTGTTTATATCAAAGTAAGGATTAGGGCTGATAATTCTATAATAAGGGCATCATTTATCAATGTAGTTAGCTTTTCTTGCTGTACTGTAACCTTTTGTCAACTCTTCCTCTCGTCTTAAAAATAAGCTGCCTTCTATTGTGAGTGTAGCCTTAGGAATGTGACTACAGAAAATACAAGCAGTAGTTACACAATGGCTTTAATCAAAACAAAAAGTCCTGCAATTTATTTTACTAGACCCACCTTCATTCCCTTCTCCCCAAAAGAACAAAAAATCCACACGCAGAGCTGTTGCTCTGGGTCACGTAGGAGAATGTCAGAAGTGCCTTCTTCCTTTTATGTCTCTGATAACAGGACCGAGCACAATGGGAGACCCTGCATAGACATCTGGTTGCATTGAAGTCACTGCCAAGCTCCCATCGGCGGCAGTGCAGAGCAACATCCTGGTGCAGGGGCTGCAGGAACCACAGCGGGCCAGTGCCGCTTCCTTCTGCAGAGATGACAGGAGGCAGAGCAGGCGGGGGGCGCTCCAGGGGGGCAGATTTCAGTGCAATGCTTCAACAGTTGTAGCGGAAGGATCAAAGGTTTTATAGCTGTCACTGTATAGCCCTGCAGGAGCTCACTTCGGGGCAGATTCTCAAATGGTTGACGCTGTCTTGGCTTTGGACATGAAGGATGTTAAGAGAGCAATCCAGCTCTCTTAATAACCCTGTGAGTGCAGGCTCCCCCAGTACAATCCACAGGACCCCAGCAGTCAGGATGACCCTAGGGAATGCCACTTCTCTGCAGAAGAACCTCCCTGGATACTCTCATATATAAAGGGTAAGGCCTGTAGTCATGTCCAGGGTGGTCCACCTCCACATTACAGCCGCAGAGCACCCAAACAGAGTGTGGTGTGGCAGTCCCCCCTCCCCAGGGTCTCAGCTCTGACATTGCCAGAGAGCATTAAATACAGGATTACCTGGTAACCTAAATCTGCCTAGCAACCATCTACATATTGGCCCAAGATAATGCTCACCAACCACTAAGCCAGTGCCATAGATGTGTCCATATGTGACAACATTTTGTCCCAGTGCAGCTGGCT